CCGTGCCGGCTGCCACTTGTGTTGACCCCATCAAAAGAGCCCCTGTTTTTTGGAAGAGGGCAGGCCCTCTTATATAGGTTTATGTATAAGTGTATATAAAAATTTTTTATTTTGAATAAATAATTTATTTGATTTTATTATATTATGTTATATTTATTTATATATTTATATGTATTTATTTATTTATTTATTTATTTATTTATTTATTTATTTATAATATATAAAAAATATATAGGTATATGCAATTAAATGTATGTTATTATATATGTTTATAATAATGAGTAAAAAAGTGATGATTGAAATTTGGTTAAGGAAAAAATGGAAGGAAAAAAGCAAAAGAAATTGCTGGCATAGAAGTCAGCGCATGAGAAGTAGGGATCAAAATATTTCTAAACTGTATTACTTTTAGTATATATATTGAATGTGATTGTAGTTGATTATAGTTAGGTAATATATTGTAAGTACGATTGGTTGCTACATTATTTGTTCACTGTAGAGAACTGCTTACACGGAGGAAATTCTATGTATTTAATCTTGGCCTTTATTTGAAACAATATTTTAAAGGCTTTTACATACACTTGTTTTTTCTCCCTCTCTCTCTCAAAGGAAAGAATAGTTTGATTTTTTATTTTATTTGATAGTCTATATTGTATATAATTTTGATAATCTAAAAAATGTATATATATATATTTTTTTGAATTTTTAAAAATTTTTATCTTTATTTTTAATTTTATTTGTTCAATTATTATTATTATTATTATTATTATTATTATTATTATTATTATTATTATTATTATTATTATTATTATTATTATTATTATTATTATTATTATTATTATTGTTATTATTATTATTATTATTGCAATAATTTATATACACATATATTTTTTAGTATTATTAAAGTCCTTTATTTTAATTTATTTTATTTTTTGATTACTATAAATTTAGTTTATAATAGTAATAGGTTGGCACATAAGTTTTGCAACCTTGTCCATAACTTCGGTCTCTATGAATAAGGCGCATCCAAATTTTGGCATTATGTAGACTCGGAAGTGCGCTATAAATCTGCGCAAACCGTTTGATTTTTTGTGGCAAAATGGAAAAAATCTGCGTATTCTCCTAAAAGCAGTCAAAATTTAGGTTTTGTGGTATTTCAACAAAAATGAAGACCTACAGAAAGTAAGGCAACCAAATTCAGCTGGAACTGTAGGCAAAATGTTCTCAGAGGGTGGCTACTGAACCCAGCGAAAAAGAATCGTGATTCATTGTTAAATCGAAATCTGGCGATTTCATAAACTCGAACAAATCGAATGCGTCAAAGTAGCTTGGATAATTCATCATTGCTAAAGAATCAGAATTGTCGGATTTTGGCGAAACTTTGCACGATGGGGTAACTTGACATGCTGAATACGAATATCATATTCAATTGTTGTCAGAGTCAAAAATTAGCCTAGTGGTTTTTTGTAATTCAACTTTTTCGTAGCAAAATAATTTTTTCAAGCAAAATGAATATCATTTTCGTAATCAGGATGTCGAATAACCCCCTTAGACCAAGTTTCACCCTAATCCGTTTCAATTCCTTTTTCTTTCCCATTTAAAAATTGTCTTACCGTAACTCTCGAACGTGATGTTGGAATACGGCAGGAATGGCTGCTTTCGCTTTTCACATGATACTCATTATAATACCTGAAGATAGAAGCGCCACATCGCAAAACACACGAGTTATAAGAAAAAGTTGCAAAACTTATGTGCCAACCTAATAAATTTTTTTAAAATAATTTTTATGTTTATTTTTTGTTTTTTATTTATTTTTATTTTTAATTTTGTGTTTTTTTTAATTTTTTTTGATTATTATTTTCTTATTTGTTATTTATAAATAATATATATATATCTTAAACAATATTAAAATAGATTTATATAAATATTAGAAGTTCTTGACATTTATTTATTTATTTATATTTTTGTAGTATTGATTTTAATTCATTTATTTATTTAATTATTTATTTATTTAAATTTTTGAATTTTTTTTTAAATTTTTTAAAATTTTTTTTTAAATTTTTAAATAAAAATTTTTTTTGTATTTCTTATATTTTTATTTTTATTTTTATTCTTTATTATGATTTATTATTATTATTTTATTTTCATTTATTTTTTATTTTAATTTTTATTCTAATTTTTATTTTTTTAAAATATTTTTTATATAAATATTTTATTTTTTTTAATATATATTTTTTATTTTTTATTTTTAGTTTTTATTTTTAACTTTTTTTTTATAAAACATGTATATTTTTTACATATATGTAATAATTTTTTTTTGATAATTTTTAAAATTTTTAAAATTTTAAATTGTGAATTTTTATTTATTAATTAATTTATTTATTTATCTGTCTTCTTTTGATGTTTTTGTTTTTATTTTTATTTTAATTTATTTATTTATTTGTTTGTTTATTTATTTATTTATTTATTTATTTTTTTATTTTTTATATTTTATTTATTTATTTTTTTTATATGACAGTAATTTAAAAACTACCTATTATGTTACTAGATTTTATAAAGAAGTCTATATTTATGGTATATATGAATCTAAATTAATATGACTATCTTCAATCTTACAACATTATATATAACATTATATGTTTATATACTTGTTTATTTTATAGCATATATAATTTTAATACTTTTTGAAATTGTTTTAACATTACATTTTGTTTTATATTATAAACGTCCGGAATTTTATTTAATGAATTTTTATTTTTAATGTATTTATTTTACTATTTATTTATTTATTTTTTTTTTGTTATAGGTATAATATTTAATTACAGAATCATGTTTATACATATTCATCAAATTACACTTATTAAATATTTAATCTTTTTTTTCCTGTGTGTGTGTGTGTGTGTGTGTGTGTGTGTGTGTGTGTGTGTGTGTGTGTGTGTGTGTGTGTGTGTGTGTGTGTGTGTGTGTGTGTGTGTGTGTGTGTGTGTGTGTGTGTGTGTGTGTGTGTGTGTGTGTGTGTGTGTGTGTGTGTGTGTGTGTGTGTGTGTGTTAAGGACAACATAATGGATTTTAAACTTGCGTAATGATATCAATGCCTATAATAATACATTGATTGCCTAATAGGATGATGGGAGGAATGGTGTTGTTACAAGTTGTTCGATACTAGATGTAGGTTAGGCATATAAAATTAAGAAAATAGGATAGACTACATTAATCTTCCTGTTAAGTTAGTAAAGTGTCTTGAGAGCTATGGAACAGAATGTTGGACCAACACTTCAAGGATAGAACGTTACGTAATCCTTATGATTAGTATCGTTTCTATCTTTCCAGTGTGAGAACCAACTGATAGGGGAATATGAGCTTGAGAGCTAAATATACTCGAAGGGGGAAAAAAAAAGAAGTAAGAATTAGTAAGCTATCTTCCTAAATTACCGAGTATGGATGCAAATGTTAGAACTCACAGTCCATCAATGTCTTAATTGTTGTTGAAGTGACCTGCAATATCTGACATTTTGACATATGTACGACTAATAACAATTGTTGAACTAAAAACTCACTGCAAGTGTATGATCACTAAACAAGAAGGAGGTTGTCTGGTCGTCTCAGTACGTTGTTGTGAGCTGAAACAGCAATCAATTTCTTTTATATTAATAAAGGACTTAATCACTGATACGCTTTATTTGTCTTGACCAGAAAATTGCTGAGTATCTGTTCGAAGCCTGAGTATCTGTTTTTTACATGTAGGAAGCTAAAAATCAGCATTTATTTTGGGATTTTTGAGAGAAGGAAATTACCATTTATTATCTGTGTTGATTAAACAGCCTTCAGCCTTGTTTTTGTTGTGCTTCAATTGATGTTAGTGCTTGAAATAGTTATTTTTTAATGCTAAGATACAATAGACTATCTCGTGTTCTTGTGACTAAAATAATAAGAGTAGAAGCAGCTAAAATGTGAAGCTATTTTTCAGTCCAGCAGTGTTTGTAAATATAAACAGCATTTTAAACTATTGAACCTACATAGAACCTACGTGATGGTAACTAACATCTACTATTGAATTGATCTTTGTACTAGAGTGATGATAACTAATGTCTTTATTAGATTTAGCACTAAAACCGAAAAAGACAACTAATAACTTGGTGTTCTATTTTTGTTTTCCAGTTAACCAGATTGAATGACTTATGTTTTGTTGTTCATTTCGAAAAAAGATGAAGTATAGATTTATGTAGAGTAAAAGTGATATACTCGTACTATTTTGCATATCTTGTGTTTTTTAACTATTATTCTGATATATGGGGGGGGGGGGGAATGAGTGCCTATGCTTTAGCAATCTATGAGGAGAAGAAATTTCAATATGTATTTATAGCAGTTAGAAGTAAAAAGGAATTTGATGTCTGTCGTAGAAAAAAATATGGTGCCAATCAACTATAACATACTTAGGATTGCGTCATTATATTCCACATTCTTATTCTATGATTGCTTAGTCCTCCCCAATTTGACTCTGTGATAAATTCATATTACAGTATACTGTTATAGTACAAAACAGTAGAGTTGATATTTTGTGCGATATTAATATAATATTGAAGCTATTACCGTGAGTATGAATTAGAAAAAGTAAGATTCTAAACCTGGTCTTTTTCAAGGAGCCAACTTTCGTTGTTAATAGTTTCAAAAGTTTCATAAGAAACATAGATAGTTCTGGTATTTACTATCTTTGCTTTTAGTTATGTGTCTAACAGTGAGAGTGAAACCTCCAAGTAGATGTAATAGATATATTATACAAGTTCATTTTGCACGTAGTTTACTTCAAAATTAGTGTAAGTATTTGGAAAAAGTAACAATTAGCGTAGAGGAACATACTTTCTGCGAAATTGTAAGACGATTTCAAAGTAAAGAACATGTATGGGACGAAAAGGTGTCCAGGATTGAGATTTTTTGATTTTATATTGATTAGGCGTATTCTGGGTGCGATGCCGTGACTACGGACAAAATTTTTTTGTTTGCGGATGTCTGTAGAATACTTTAAGGTTGTTGTTTTCTTACTTTATGTGCTAATCTTTGAAGCTATTGAATAAGTGAGACCTTTCTGGAATGTGGTCTCGAATAATAAAGCTGTTTCTTATCCAATTTCGCTCAGATGAAGTATTAGAATTCAGATTTGGATGGATTTCCAGATCAAGAGTTGGTTGTAACTCAATACCACGTTTACGTGAAACATAAACAAAATGTGATATGACCACAGATTCGTTTAGCTATCTGTCTAGTATTGAGCGTAAAACTTATGGTTCATTCATTTTTTCTATGTATTTCAATTTACTTCTAACGCATGCATATTCTCATACAAGAATGTTGTAGTAGAGTTGTGCATTACACCAGATGGCACAAGTTTATCTTTTAGAACATTGAAAAACGGATTAGGTGCAGGGGAAGTATCATGAGACGAAAACACATCCAAAAATAAGAATTTCTGATTTTACCAATATTAGGCGTCCAGTTGGGTGTGAGTTCCGTGATATACGGACAATATGCATTTCTTATGTTTCTGACGTCTAATTCAACTTCGTTCATGTTCTAACGTTTATAACTTTTTGAGTGTCTAAAACTAGCTAACTATACTGGGTATAAAGTTATTAGAGTTGCAATTAATTGGTCCATTAAGAAATATTTTTGTTTTGGCATCTCTATAGCTTAGAGGATGAATACTACTTCTATCAAGTCTCAATATAAGTTGTATTACTTGTTTCTATAAACATTACTGACTTGTATACTGCTATCTTAATCATATCTGCTATTTTATCATAGCCTAGTCTACATGCTCATTCTTGCCTACGTGGAAGTATTGATTAGGTATTACTAATGCATGTTTACTAATCAAGTTGAAGTTCAGGAACATATCCCATTGCACGTATACGTCGCCCACAAGAAAGCTGTTGTATCCTTGAGCACACTGTCTCTCAAATTCCGTAAAACAACAACTGTTCAATTGCGCTCTCGCAAAGAAGTCATAAAACATTGATACAGAAACGGTAAGCTACTCTAATTCACATTGCTTATACTATTCCTTATTTTCAGATCCACTATACTGTTAGTAGCTAGCTTTCAATATTTTCATGAGATTTCCATGCAGGTGGAAGCAATATCAACCGAGAAATCAGTGGTTAGTTTGTTGCTTCTGTGGATCTTTATTGAGGCTTGTTTAGGAAGGTACCTAGCTAGATTGTATCTAAGTTTAAACTTGTAAAGTTATATGAAAAGTATTTATCATAGTATTATTCTTCATGCTCATTCTTCCTTACGTGGAAGTATCGATTAAAAATCCTTTATGCATGTTAACTGATCTGGTTGAATTTCAGTAACATCTCCCAATTGTATGTATACATCGCCTATAGGAAAATTGTTGTATCTGTGATCAAACTGTATCTCAAACTTCGCAAAACAGCGACAGTTCAATAGCAATTTTGCACAGAAGTCATAAAGCATTGATAAATAAACGTTAAGTTCCTCTAATTCAATTGCTTTATACAATTTTTATTTTCAGAACCACTATACTGTTAGAGAAAGCTCTCAACATACACGATTGGATTTTCATGCAAGTGGAAGTTGTATCGATACAGGAATCCGTGGTGAGTTTATTGCTTCTGTGGGTCTTCATTGAGGCTTGGTTAGGAAGGTACCTAGCTAGATTGTATCTAAGTTTGAACTTGTAAAGTTATATGAAAAGTCTTTATCATAGTAGTATTCTTCATGCTCATTCTTGCTTACGTGTAAGTATCGATTAAGAATCCTTTGTGCATGTTTACTGATCAGGTTGAATTTCAGTAACATATCCCAATTGTATGTATACATCGCCCATAGGAAAACTGTTGTATCTGTGATCAAACTGTATCTAATTTTCGCAAAACAGCAACAGTTCAATAGCAATTTTGCACAGAAGTCATAAAACATTGATAAATAAACGGTAAGTTTTTCTAATTCAAATTGCTTTATACAATTTTTATTTTCAGAACCACTATACTGTTAGTAGAAAGCTCTCAACATACACGATTGGATTTTCATGCAAGTGGAAGTTGTATCAATAAAGGAATCCGTGGTAAGTTTATTGTTTCTGTGGATCTTCGGAAGGTACTTAGCTAGATTGTATCCAAGTTTAAACATGTAAAGTTATATGAAAAGTTATTTTTTTTTAAATATACGTTAGCTATCTGCAAGGTAATTAGAATGAGCAAGATATTCAATGCAATAAGATATCTTAAAAGCCTGTGTGGTAGCATTAAAGACCAACCAAAAAACCATTTGCTGTTTCTCAGGCAAGCAGTTCTTTATCACTTAAACATTTGGATGTTTTAGGTGAAGATAAAAAATATTGTGCAGTTTACATTCTGTTGTTTAAGTGCTGGAATATTAGGCTTGTGAATTGCTTTTGTAATGAATATTTATTTTAGATCCTGCTACTGATATTATGAGAGAGTACGAGATTGAATCATATAATGGAACGTACTTGGTGTGAACTTTTCATATTCAAGAAAGAGAATTATAATGAAATCCTGTTGGCAATGTTAACTTGAGTTCAAAAAAATTTTGGCTTATGAAGGTCTTCTTGCAATGTGCTGTTTTATCGGTGAGTAGTTATTTGGTTGTGTTTCATGTTGTCTTATCTTAGTATTGTGAATTTTTCTTTTTTGGTTATAGGAATTTGTATGACTTGGAGCAAAGTTGCTAAGCAACTACTTTGGAATGATCAGTTGTTTATATTTATTTCACAATCATGAAATATGTCAAGTTTCTATCAGAGGCAGGTAAGTCATAGCTTATGTGTTTATTTTTGGTATCCATTTGGCTTTTAGAGCCACGGTACAAATAAATGAACAACGAATGCGCGTGAACAACCGTCAGTCGACTATCTAATCACGCTAGTCAATATATGTAGAACATTATGATGAGATGATTTTACTAATCAGTTTTTTGAATGCTGTAATACTAATACAATCTTCATGGATGCATGTTGCTATTAGTGTAATTTAGTGAAAATGCGATTTTAATTCAAATCAAACTGAAAACCTGTACAATAGCATCTAATATCTATGAAGTGACTATAAGGACTTTAATGGTTCTTATAAGACTGAAAAATCTAATTTAGTATAGAATGAATGGTGACGCAGAAGAGCGAAAGAGTTCCTTCCAAGATTCAATTAACAAAAAAGTATTGATTGAATGGATCAGAATTACTGGATTACCAAATCCTAAGAGAAAGACTTTCGATAAGCTTCTACATGAACTGGCTACTGACATCTTAAAGTACGTTCATAAATTACACAAACTCAGGTTACTGATTTATTTTAAGATATCCGGCTGACAAACCAAACCCGTTTAGTTGGCCCACCGGCGCTGGTATTTCTAACAACATACCGGCAATCAGGGTAATAAATTATTATTTATTTCAACCGGATACTGAGAATGTTACTTGGGTGAAAATAAACTACGAATTTTGGCGTCACTTTTTATCGCAAGGAAGAAATAACCTCTTAGAATATAACAAAAACAACAACACTGACATAAAACTCAATCGTGAGCAGACATTACAAGTGTCGGATATGGAAAAATTAGGGTTCGTTGTTACATTAAAAGTGTAATAAGGAGTAAAAGTCTCGAGTTATTACCGTTTTCAGGTTCTATATCCGCAAATTTATTCGTGAAGCACACAATGAAGCAAGGCGCCGATGTCCTGATATTTCGTTTAAGAAGGGCATGTTGAGCATAGGACGTGAACATGTAAGTCTTAACAATCATAGTTACAAAGATCAAATTTAAGAATACCTCAAATAGATGTACGTACCAATATGTATGCTTCTTCCAGACTTTGACTCCAACAATGGCCGCATATCAATTTAACATAAACATGGAAACCTGGAGGGGGCTGCCATTAGAGGAAATGATGACCAATGCGGAGAAAACGAAAGTCCAGGTGAGTAATATGCAACTTTACTTGTGAACAATATCAACTTATACAATTACTGTATAATTTTGTGCATATAAGTGTGAATTAATTCTATTACTTTATAGAACGGTGAAGTTACTCGTGGATCCTTACGTCTAACTGGTGTAAATCTAACCAAACCTCTAAGAAACGTCCAGTCTTTACCAGAAACAAGCGGCAGCAACGAGGTGACTTCAAGTTAATAACAATTATTTTAAATTGAAATATTTTTTTATATATTTATTTTTTTTTATTTTTATTTTTTTTAAATAAATATTTTTTATTTTTTATATATATGTATTTTTTTATATATTTTTTTAAATATTATTTTTTTTATTATTTTTTATTTTTTATTTTTATTTTTTTTTATTTTTTTATATATTTTTATTTTTTTTTAATTTTTTTTATATTTTTTATTTTTTATTTATTTATTTTTTTTATTATTTTTTTTTTGTATAATAAATTAACAATTCTATTTCAGAATGCTGTACAGAAACGTCCGCTTCACCTAGAAGAAGGCGAAGAGAATCCCAATAAGATAGTGAAAAATTAGTATTTTTAACACCGTTTTAACTATTCTTTGTCAATGTAAGCAGATGTTTTATCTTTTATTGAAATTGTGATAAAATTGTAATTATGATTTTATACGTAATTGCAGTTTCGCAAAATAAAACTAAGATTCAATTTGTGCTTGACAAAAAAAAAACAGATAACTAAGTTAACAGTAGTGTACATGATTAATTGATGGTTATAAGTAAGATAATCAGAAGTAAAAGGTTAGTGTAGAAAATACGGATAATTTTAATTAAGAAAATTAGTTAGGTTAGTTATTGATTTGAACAATATCAAGAAACCTGTCTATTCGACAGGACGACCAATCGGTCGAAAAAGGAGCCAAATCTGGCTATGAGGCAAGTTGCCTCTGAAAAAATACAGGTAAGATTATACTAAACAGTGTAAACCCTTGAGAAGGTACTAGATGTTGAATGGTCTCGGGTTTCCCTCACAGTTACCATTCAACACTAGCATGACAAATAAAAGAAGAAAAGAAAGTTACCTAATTTCCGTTTCGTTCCTATCACTATACGGAAAGTAGGTAAGCATACGATCTTCCCGGAACTCATCAGTAGTGAAGGAAGATCGTAAATCATATATAAAAAAACAAAAACAAAAACAAATAAAGGAAGATAAACTAACCTAAATTATAATAATGTAGTTGCTAGATCCATTGGATGGCATAGAGTAACCTATAATTTAAAAAAATAATAAAGAGCTGGTATATATTGTAAGCAAAGCACAAGAATCAAGAAAACGTGTATCTATGCAGTAAGCCTGTTAAGATAGTATTTCAAATTTGAAAGTTCCCGCTCGGTGGAGGATGTCACATACCAGAAACAAACTAGAGCATGTTATCTGCATTGTCCTTAAAAGACAATTCTGTAACTGTTGGTATGTGACAATTGTTCTTGAGACTATGTAAACTGATGTTAGAAAATTGATCTGATTACACTGAGTATTTCTTCATCTGTACCTTTACAGCAGTACTTAGTCACTATAAATTTGTTTTTGTGAAGGCATTTGAACACTGCACTCAATATAGTTCCTTCATCATAACCGCAGTCCAAAAGTTGGTTTTTAAGTTTGTGAATTCTACCTATGAAGTCTTCTTTCAAAGAGCAAGTACGAGCAATTCTGAGTGTTTCTGTGTATATGGTAGCTTTTTTAACATTAATAGAAATGCAAGAAGTCATATGTGGAAATCTAATTACACTATTCTGAAAGCTATCGGTTTTATTATATAGCTTAGTGTAAATTCTGTTATTTAGTATTTTTAATTCTAAATCTAAATAACAGCAACTAAATTGGTTTGGATTTGTAGTTTCAAATTTCAAAGAATTTTCATAGACTTGGATCAAGATATTGTTTATGTCAGACTGTTGTTTGAAAGCTTTGTTAGCTAAGGCATCGGAATTCTGGCTAAGTTGCGAAACAAATCAAAGGTAGGGGCCAACAAAGTTGGGTTATTGGTCCTGCTGCAAAACGTTATGGAGGTATGGGGAATTGAACCCCAGCCCTCTCCCATGCTAAGGGAGCGCTCTACCACTGAGCTATACCCCCACGTGATCAGTCTTCTCTTTTCCCTTCCTTTCTATTCTTCTCCGATCCGTTTATTGTTTGAAAGCTTTGTTAGCTAAGGCATCGGAATTCTGGCTAAATTGCGAAACAAATCAAAGGTAGGGGCCAACAAAGTTGGGTTATTGGTCCTGCTGCAAAACGTTATGGAGGTATGGGGAATTGAACCCCAGCCCTCTCCCGTGCTAAGTGAGCGCTCTACCACTGAGCTATACCCCCCACGTGATCAGTCTTCTCTTTTCCCTTCCTTTCTATTCTTCTCCGATCCGTTTATTGTTTGAAAGCTTTGTTAGCTAAGGCATCGGAATTCTGGCTAAGTTGCGAAACAAATCAAAGGTAGGGGCCAACAAAGTTGGGTTATTGGTCCTGCTGCAAAACGTTATGGAGGTATGGGGAATTGAACCCCAGCCCTCTCCCGTGCTAAGTGAGCGCTCTACCACTGAGCTATACCCCCCACGTGATCAGTCTTCTCTTTTCCCTTCCTTTCTATTCTTCTCCGATCCGTTCATCGTTGAAAGCTTTGTTAGCTAAGGCATCGGAATTCTGGCTAAGTTGCGAAACAAATCAAAGGTAGGGGCCAACAAAGTTGGGTTATTGGTCCTGCTGCAAAACGTTATGGAGGTATGGGGAATTGAACCCCAGCCCTCTCCCGTGCTAAGTGAGCGCTCTACCACTGAGCTATACCCCCCACGTGATCAGTCTTCTCTTTTCCATTCCTTTCTATTCTTCTCCGATCCGTTCATCGTTGAAAGCTTTGTTAGCTAAGGCATCGGAATTCTGGCTAAATTGCGAAACAAATCAAAGGTAGGGGCGAACAAAGTTGGGTTATTGGTCCTGCTGCAAAACGTTATGGAGGTATGGGGAATTGAACCCCAGACCTCTCCCATGCTAAGGGAGCGCTCTACCACTGAGCTATACCCCCACGTGATCAGTCTTCTCTTTTCCCTTCCTTTCTATTGTAGGGTAACTTTCGATTATGCACGAAACGCTTTTGATCGTACTTGGAAGCCTCGATCATGCGCCCGACTGTAAAGGAGGAAAAACTAATTGCTTCTTAGAAGTTGTAGTAACAATGGTACCGGAAGGAAGGAAGAAGTGGCTTCCAGAGATTACTCATGCCTTTGTTAGACAATTAATGGCGGACGACAGAAAGGAAATTTGGAGAAGAGAAGTAAAAGAACTTGTAGCGCCCGGTCGCCCGGTAAAGCAGTATATAAGCACCACAGAATTTGTTGTATCAGGGTAGTATAGTATAAGCTTTGTCTTTAATTGTTACTTCTTATTTCCTCATCTTTCCTCATGAGGGCCTCCTCTTCGGAGGCCCGTCAGTCGCCCTTGTGACCTCTTTGTTCCTATGAACAATCCTTTTACTTTCATCCCGCGTGTTATCTGTAATTTTCACTATCTTGATTGATTTTGTCTATGACGCAAGGTCATAGAGCGGGGATGAGTTATGTAGTGAGAGTGTGTATGCGTTCTCTGAGCTGGGAATAAATGGTTGTTGGGAGACGGTGCAGATGCAGATATATTGGCGGCGTTTCGACGTGGCTAGATCCCGACTAGTTATTTATGGCGTTCTAGTTCGGTAGTACAAAAAACCAAGATTGCAACATTTTATTGTCACTGGGACTTTCTCCGGCCACGCCTCGGAACTGCGACATGAAAATTTATGATAATGGGTTAAGGCTGAATGATATAGACTACAGCGAAAATAGAGACCCCGCTGCACGATGAATAATATATCAGCCTTACATGGAGGTTCCGGCTTCGAACTCAACCACTTCTTGCAACAGCCGCTGCGCCACAGGCCCAATTTTACGGGTCAAAAGCTGAGTACTGATTGATGCTCACTTTTTTGAGGAATCTACGCAGTTTATCCTCTCGTGCTTCAGTATACTGGACTTTCATGTTGGTAGTATGCGTTGTGCAGGGGTTGAGCTCAGGAGTTTGGCTGGAACATGTCCTATGAACTTCGTGACAGATAGATAGACATACACACATATAAAATACGTAAACATCTCTAGCCCATTGCTGGAAGTCATGATTGTCCAATTTGTGTGCTCAAATTGGCACAGCTTAATAAGCAATTAGGGAAAAGCCTTTCGCTCGTTCATACCTGGTAGTGATAGTGAACAATGGGAAATGTTTTGCTGTAAGTATTAGTAAAGTGGGAGTAAATACTTCAATTTTTTTTGCTATTTCAATTCTAACTTCCTGCTAGAGCTGCATAAAGTTTAACTTTCCCCACCGGCCAGAACCGCCTACCATGAATTTTCACCACCTTCTCCCTTTGAGATGACAGATATGGTTGACCAAAAGCGACTCTATCTAACCTTTTGGGGAAATTTATTTGTATCGGCCATAGAAATTTCTTTCTTCACCCCAATTTGCTATATGTATTCAATCATTGCAACATACCCCGACATAAGCTACAAGTTAGAAATGGACTTGAGGAAGTGAAGAAGAAGAAGAAGAAAAAAGAACTTTTTTGATACCTGATATCTCATTACTCCCTATGACCTCTATGCAAATTGGGCTTTAGTACACTTGCACGACAGCATCGTCGCCCAGCATCGTTCTTTTTTAATACTCTGTTCCAGCAAACTGTCGTTGGAGCGCATAGAAACTCCAAAGGTCAGCGAAAAGCTACTACGGCGGCTGCGCAGAGATCAATTTAGAGAACAATCACTCGCAAGGATTCAGTCAAGAACAAATATGCCGGAGGACGGGGATGATTCCGAGGCTGAGGAGCTGATCCCGAAACAAGTATACCAAGCCTCCAAGATCCTGGGAAGTCGACTGGATAAATTCTCCGGTAATGAGGATAAGACCTTCGAAGAGTTCCTGGATGAATATAAGGATATCGTGCAACGCTTTGCTATTTCCCATGAGGTAGCGAAGAAGCTGCTTCCGTTGTTCTTATCGGGAGGAGCGAAATTCAAGTACCAGCAAATCCCCAATCACGATAAGATGAAATGGAAGGATCTAGTAACGGAATTGGCCACGAGACTAAAGAACGATTCGCTGCTCAGTAACATTCGTGACGAGCTACACCATATGACTCAAGGGAAGGACACCGTTGGAGAATTCGCGAAGAAGATTTACAACAAAACAAAAATCGCATTCCAAGGCCAAGGAGAGAAGTTTGTGACGCGTATGGCCATTGATTTCTTTATCAAAGGTCTGAACCCGGAGATTAGGAAGGCGATTAGGAGACTCCCCGATACGGACGAATTTGAGGCTATAGTATGCAGAGCAGAGAAGGAACATCGGATTCTGGAACAGGAGAGGAACGAGACAGGGAGACTCTTCAAGCGGTCAATGCACTTCTCACTGATGAAAAGATCAATCGCCTCGAACAGTTAAGCCGGATGAAAGCAACTCCACCAAGGAAACCAAATATCCCGCAAAACAAGTACA